GGAGAAGCTAATTTTGAGTCATGGGCCTGCCGGTAAAGGTAAGCTTCACAGGTAAAAGCTGTGGGAGGAGAGATCATTTGAGGGACACAACTAGGGACACAGCTTAAAGACGAACATTTACTCATTAGCAGGAAAAGGCTGGAAGTTAACAAGGAGGCAGCACAGCCACGGGAATAGAGAAACTAGGAAGACAAAGGAGCTTCACTCTAAGCAGAAGATGCACCGGTGAAGTTAGATCTTCTCTTGTTTCTGCTGTTTCAGCAGTCTTCTTTGCCACCCTCCAGTCCTGCTGTCTGTCCTCTGTCCTCTGTCCACTTCACCCTCTGACCTCGTCCTGCCTTGCCTTTCCATAGCACGGTCTCCTGGCACTCCCAGGCTTGTTCCAGGTCTCTTCTCACCTTCATACAATCACCAACCTGCACACTTCTGCTCTTCAAATATTTGTGTCCTAGGGGCTGGGAAGGTGGCTCAGTGGTAGAGCACTTGCCTTGCATGCCTGAGGCTCTGGGTTCGATTCCCAGCACCACATAAGCAAAAAGAAAAAAAAGCCGGAAGTGGCACTGTGGCTCAAGTGGTAGAGCGCTAGCCTTGAGCTGAAGAGCTGAGGGACAGCGCCCAGGCCCAGAGTTCAGGCCCCACGACCGGACCCAAAAAAAAAAAAAAAAAAAAAAAACCAAATATTTGTGTCCTTAACTATTTTATGGAAGTATAAATGGCTGACTTTCAATATTCAAACACCAGGGCTTCTATGCTTCACTCTTTCCCTGGTCCCTACAGGAATCAGTTATTTCCAGAATGAGGACAGTCCGTGCTTTGCACTTGATAGCCCTCCTATGCTTCTCTTTTGTAGCACAGAAAATGGCCAAATAGCCATTTATTGCACACTAGTTATACAACATGACTCTCTCCTTGTCTACAAGTGCCAAGTAGACCAAAGTATCTTAATCATAACTATTCAAATTGGTTACATAGCCTAAACACAACAAAGACAACTTGTAAACAAACATGTATCTTCCAATGGAGCTTATTTACAAACCTAAGAGGTAGAATAGGATAAAGGGCTATCATTTGCTGTCACCTGGCCTAAATCACCAGCACTCAAAGAATGAATAAACCTTAAGAGAAAAATGCTGTGGGGCTTGATCATGAGATGGTAACCATACCCAAGATCCATTCTGAGGCATCAAGGGTGGAAATGAGAAAGAAAATTATTTCTTCCAAGATTTTTAGTAATAGGGCTAGGGAATAGTCTGCTTGTAGTTTAGCAGGGTGGGAGCAAGTTTGAAGGGTAAGAAAAGTGATAAAATGGGGAGGGGGGAGGGAGGAGGGCAGGGCATTCTGCCAGGCAATGGTGGCTCACATCTATAATAGCTTTTCAGGAGGCTGAGATTTGAGGATTGTGGTTCAAAGCCACCCTGCGCAGGAAAGTCCATGAGACTCTTTTCTCCACTTACCCACCAGAAAACCAGAAGTGGTGCTGTGGCTCAAAGTGGTAGAGAGATAGATAGCCTTGAGAAAGCATCCAGGACATGAGCTTGAGCCCCATGACTGACAAAAAAAAAAAAAAAAAAAAAGGAAGGGGAGACTTCAGAGTCTGGAGACAAGTGTGGATCTGGTCATGAGGGAGGAGGCCACATTATAAGTCAAAGTAAAAGAGAGAGAGAAAAGGGGAAAGATAGGCTTGATGCTGGTGGCTCATGCTTATAATCGAGCTATTCTGGAGGCTGAGATCCAGGGAGTCATGGTTGGAAAAGTCTTAGGCAGAAAAGACCACTAGACTCCATCTCCAATATAACCACCAACTTTGGTTGATAGTATAGTTCAAGTGGTAAAGTGCAAGTTGAGAGCAAATCTAAGGAGTGTTAACACCCTGAGATCAAATCTCATTATTGCCAAAAACAAACACCCAAGTGTAAGGACCTGAGATCAAATCTCACTGCTGCCAAAAACAAAAACAAAAAAACAACAAAATGAAAAACCAAGGATAGGTAGAAGGAAAAAAGAAAGACTTGCACTCGTCTTTCTTGTACAACTTGAGCCAAAACACATTGGGGTAGAGCAGTCAGAGCTGGCCAGCTCAGGACCACAACCCCATGGCATGTTGGGAGCCACTGACAACAGTGGGATGAGAGTCCACAAGCCTTGCGGGGACCCAAGATGCTGTCCCCGCCATTTTCCTCTCTCTTCCCTCAAGACTATCCACGGTGGCATCGGGGGTTTCAGCTCTGACTCAGTGTGAGTGTCTCACTCACGGAATCACTATCACTACTGTATGCTGTCATTTCCTATCACTTTACTTTCCTGGGCAGGTAGACAGGTAGGCCAAAGCAGAGTGAGGTCATGACTTAAACATGTGGGCCACCCAGTTTCTGCTGGAAGGATATTAAAAGGCACTTTTTGTTGTTGTTGTTGTTGGTCCTGGAGCTTGAACTCAGGGCCTGGGCGCTGTCTCTGAGTTTTTTTACTCAAGGTTAGCTCTCTACCACTCGGAGCCACAGCGACACTTGGGGTTTCCTAGTGGTTAACTGGAGATAAAAGTCTCACGGAACCCTACTACATTGTTGGTGGGAGTGTAAACTTGTTCAACCATCTGGCAAGTTGTATGGAGGTTCCTCAAAAGACTCCACATAGAGCTCCCCTATGACCCAGCAATCCCACTTTTGAGCATTCCCTAGGACCCAGCAATCCCACTTTTGGGCATTTACCTGAATGATCACAAATAAGACCATACTAAAGCTACAAGCACAACTATGTTTATTGCAGCATTATTTACCATAGCTGAGATATGGAACCAACCCAGATGCCCCTCAGTAGATGAATGAATCAAGAAAATGTGGCATATTTACGCAATAGAATTCTATGCTTCCATCAGAAAGAATGACATTGCCTCATCGGAAAAAATTATATTAAGTGAAGTAAGCCAGGCCCAAAGAAACCAGGTCCCATGGTTTCCCTTATTTGCAATAACTAGTATATGTCTGAGATAAGCAGAGGTCAGATAAAATGATGTTAGGCAAAATGAACCCCAAGATAAGGACACAAGTGGTTTTTTTCTTTCTTGCTAATGTTTCTAACATTTTATAAGGTGATTTTTTTTGTTGCTTTGTATGTCCCTCCCCCACAGTATAGCCCCTGTTTTCACTGTATTTGATGTTGGTAAAATTTGGGGAGGAGAAGGGAAAAAACAAATTGTTTAAATAGGGATAGAGGTGGACCCATTGCAACAAGATGTTATATTGAAAAATGAACCTCGCAACTTTGGCAGTGGCGGGGAAGTGGGAGGTAGAGTGTAGTTGTGGAGATGGGAGGGCAGGGATGGTAGGGGAAAAACAAAGGAGGAGGCAACAATGCTTGATAAGAAATGTACTTATTATTTTGCTCATGTTATTGTAACCCCTCTGTATAGTATTTTCACAATAAAAAACTTATTAAAAAAAAAAAAGTCTCACGGACTTTCCTGCCTGGGCTGGCTTTGAACAGCAATCCCCAGAATCTCAGTCTCCTGAGTAGCTAGGATTACAGACACCAGCCATTGACGCTCAGCTTAACAAAGGCATCTTAATTGTAGCAGTAGTTGTGGATTTCATCCCCAAGCCCTCAAATACATAGGAAACTCACAGTATCAAAAAAAAAAAATAAGCACATGCTAACAACTTGTAATTTCTCAGTAGACTATATTATAGAATTCCCTTTCAGGCTGCAAAGTAGTTCTCAATGTGATGAAAAGTATTTAGAGCACAAGCCTTACTTTTTCTTTTCTTTTGTCGGTCGTGGGGCTTGAACTCTGGGCCTGGGCGCTGTCCCTCAGCTCTTCAGCTCAAGGCAAGCGCTCTACCACTTGAGCTACAGCGCCACTTCCAGTTTTCTGGTGGTTTATTGGAGATAGGAGTCTCACGGTCTCTCCTGCCCGGGCTGGCTTTGAACCGCGATCCTCAGATCTCAGCCTCCTGAGTAGCTAGGATTACAGGCGTGAGCCACCAGCGCCTGGCTTACTTTTTCTTAATGATGGACAGATTCCCCCTATAAATGAAGGAATTCAGCCATGTGGCATTGGCTCAACATTTGTAAAGCTGCTCAGAAGGCTGAGATTTGAGGATAGAGTTCAAAGTCAGCTTAGGCAGCAAAGTCTGTAAAATTCCATCTTCAATTAACCAGTTAAAAAAAAAATACAAGTGAGCTGTGGCTTAAGTGGCAGCCTTGAGCAGAAAAGGCCGAGATTGGTACACAGGACCTGAATTCAAGCTTCATTAGTACACGTACGTACGTGTACGTACACACGTACACACACACACACACACAAACACACGAACAAAAACAAGGAAATCATTTGATTGGGGTTTCAGAATAACAACTGAGCATAAATGTTTCTTAGTGTTTACCAGCTTACTGTGCTTCAGCCTTGAAAACTCAACTTACTAATTTACACTAGAGCCATATTTCATATAAACATGCAAATCCTCTGAAAAACACTTTAGAGAATGGGGGAAAAAAACCCTATAGATGGCCAACTTCAATTATGCCAAGGACCAGAAAAAAACCTTCACATTTCAACATAAAAACGTAAATTTATTATTACCACTAATGTGGGTGTGAGAAGGGTTTGGACTTCATTCTATTTCTTTTTAGGAAGGATTAAAACCATCCGAATATGAATATCTTTTGATTGACACACGTGAAAAACAGTACCAGGATCTGTATTCATCTGCCTCTCTTTATGTTGTAACTGGAATTATAAATGTATAAATGAAGTTTCTGTATCTAGCCTATTATTAAGCTGTAATTCATAGTTTTTGTTTTGAAGTTTTCATTTCCTGAAATCTGAAGAGAATTTTCTTAAAATACACCAAACCTCACTGTATTTGTTCATCTTTCTGGGGATGCCAAACACCAGCAATTCTGAAGGCAGAGTGCAAGATTGCACAGGCTACACCTGTAACACTTTTGCTTGGAAAGACTTTCAGTGTAACTTGGAGGAATGGCAAATAAATGTCATTTCTTACCCTATTGTTGGGTTGATGTTCGGATCAAAACTGTCTTCCACAAACCGCCACACGATGCTTGATTTACCTACACCTGTATCCTGAAAAAGAATGAGATGGGTGACCGAGGAAAAGCTACTGTGTTTACAGACAACCAAAAAGTATTTTGTGACCTAAGCTTGAGATTTCAGAAGTCATCCTCATGTGTGAAGAGGGCAAAGGTGGATTCTGTAAACTTTCAGAGGAGAAATCAGATTTCAACCCGTAGTGAAGGGGATGGGTCCTGCAGTTTTTAAAATAAAGAGACCTTTTGAAAGACCCAAAGTTTTTGCTTCCTGTGAAAAGTAACAAAAGCACTCAACTAGGAACTCCAGTCCTGATGAGCTCTAGCCACACTCTCTTTGGGAGGTCAAAAGGTCCACTTACTGGAGTTCCAATCTTTAAAACAGAAACTCGGGAAGAACATGGACCACAGAAGGTTCAGAGCTGGCCAAACTGCCCTGGACAGACAGGAAGCCAAAGCTTCAAACTCGCCTGGGGGCTTGCTGACTCGACCGTCACCTCCTTCACCTCCACTTTCCAAAGTAAGGCAAACAGTTGTCAGGGACGCCCCTAAAGTTTAGCGACGTCCCCCTCGACCGCCAAGGAGGCCAGGGCTGCTCCGAACCCCCAAAGCCCGGATCGGGGCTTCACTTTAGGCGACTTGGGCAACTCCCAAACTAAAGAGTACCTGGAGGAGTGGGGCGGAAGCTACCGGCCCGGGGTTCTCACCCGGCCCCGGTGGAGGGGCGGGGAGAGCGCCCGGCTCGGGGCGCCCAGCAGGGTCCCCCGCCGCGGGGCCGGCCGCGGGCCGGGGCGGGGCGGCGGGACCCGGGACGGCCCGCGGGTCCCGGACCGAAGTGTGGAACTGCGGGGCGCCAGGGTCCCGGCCCGGCCGTCCGGCCGACCTCCCGCGGCCTCCGGCCCCTGCTCGCCCCCACTCACCCCCAGCAGACAAACTTTGAGCTCTCTCAAGGCCATGGCGGGGAGTCCGGGGCGCGGGCCCGCCGCCGCCCTAAGTTGAGGAGGGAGAGGCCCGGCCCAGCAGGACCATCCCCCGGCGCCGCCGCACGGCCCAGCCTCGGCCGCGCGGGCCGTGAAAGGGCGGCGGCCGCTCGCCCGCCGGCTCTCGGTCCGGCCTGTTCGCCGCCAGCCACGCGGAGCCCCCTCAGCAGCCGGGAAGCCACCAAGGCCTCCGGGACGCTACCGCCGCCGCCATCTTGGGACGCCGGCCGGGTCAGCTGACCTCCCCGCCCACTTCGGCAGCCACCTTCGCTGCGAGGGCGGGGCGGCCGGCGAGAGGCGGGTTGGGGGCGTGGCCTCGAGCGGCCACGCCCACCACACGCCCCCAGGCCCAGGCCCAGGCCCATCCCAAGATGGCGGGTGAGCGGGGCCGGGCTCCGGGGCGGGGGGCGGCGGCCGCGTCGGGCTGGCCCCTCCCCGGGGTCCCCGCCAGGCGGGAGCCCCGGCCCGCGCAGGCCCGCGCCACCCCGGTATGTCTTGGTTTTCAGAGGTCCCTGTGCCGTGTGGACTTGCGGGATGACTTGGACGACTGTAAGTAAGAGTTGGGGCGCCCCGCCCCTCCGGGTCCCTGGACGCGGACCGGGGCGCGCGGAGGCGGGGCGCGCCGCCCCGGGCCGGGGGCCGCGGGAGACCGATCGGGGCCGTCCTCGCTCGCTGGGCGCGGGCGGCTGAGATGGGGACCCTGTCCCCCGGGGGCCCGGGACTTGGGCTTGGTTGGAAACTTTGCCTTCCCGTCGGTCCCTGTCCGGTCCTCCACCCCGAGGACGGGGTGGGGGGTGCATGGTGACCCCAGGACCCCGGCTTCTCCCCCTGGGACTTCGGGACGTCGAGGCGTGCGCCCGTTGGCCGGCCTCTGGTGTCCTGGGTTAGGCTGCCCTCACCCCCCCCCCCCCCCCCCCGTCCCTTCCCGCCTCTCCACTTTGGGCGGAGAGCAGGGCAGGTGCCCTCCTGGAAAGGCCAGTTCTAGTTTGTGGCAGATGAAGCGGTTCCTTTCCACTCAACATGCCTTTCTTGAGCACCTACTGGTTACTGCCCAGGCCACCGTGTGTTGAGTTCTAGGTTTACCAAGATGAACAAGAAAGAGCTCCCGTGTGCAGGATCTGGCAGGCCTCGAGATCGAGCCTGCCCAGAGAAGTACCCAACACTGGGACGCTTCCTGGGGGAGGGAGGCCTGTACAGAACACCTGGATGGCTGAGGGGAGTTGGGGTTTGGTTTCTGGGTCCCAGTCATACTTGGTACTACCTCTTGTCTTCCTTTCCCCATCTGAAAGTTTCCTGATGATAATCGTCGGTGTTGACTGAAAACGTGGCCATAGACTGTGTCCAGTGTTAAATGCTTTCTACACTTTTTCTCCTTTTTTGGGTGTGTGTGTGTGTACTTAAGCCTCATGAGTGGAGGAGCAGGAAGAGTCAATGCTGAGAGATCAGCCTGGAGTCCAATGGCAGGCCAGTGAAATCCTGTGCCACCATTGATTAGAGGTGTGGTTCTGGACCAGTCATTGGTACCACACTAAGCCCCAGTGACCCAGTGATACCCACTTCAAAACACTTTTTGTGAGAATTAAATGAATAAAGTGTGTAATAGGAAGCATCCTCTAGTACTGGAGGCTATTATTATTGATAGGATGGTTATTAATATGTATTTGAAATTGTGTGTGTTGGGGATATGTGTTGAATCTGGGGCTTGAACTCAGAGCCTCTGGGCCTAGACACTGTACTTTAGCTTTCTTTGTTTAAGGCAGGTGCTTTGCCACTTAAGCTACAGCTCTTCTGGGTTTTTGGTAGTTAATTGATGATAAGAATCTTACAGACTTCTGCCTGCACTGGCTTCAAACCTTGATCTTTAATCTCAGCCTCCTGAGTACTTAGGATTACAGGTGTGAGCCACTCTGTGCCTGGCATATTTGATATTCTTTTTTTTTTTTTGGTCATGGGGCTTGAACTCTGGGCCTGAGCGCTGTCCCTCAGCTCTTCAGCTCAAGGCTAGTGCTCCCACTTGAGCCAGAGTGTCACTTCTGTTTTTCTAGTCTCAAGGACTTTCCTGCCCAGGTTGGCTTTGAACCAGGATCCTCAGATCTCAGCCTCTTGAGTAGCTAGCATTACAGGCATGAGCCATCGGCGCCTGGATCATATTTGATATTCGTAAGCCACATAACATATAACCAAATTCATGGAGCTGAATCTTTTGGTCAGTGCACATCTTCCAGTCATTGATAACTGTGATCCACCACTAAGGTGCCTGTCTTTGTGGACTTACTCTTTGGCCTCTGTGGAAAAGCTATTTCTAGGCTATCTATTGTTTGGTTATCTAACCTAAGCTCAGTGGCTTAAACCAGCAGCACTTCATTGTTTCTTACAGATCTGTGGGTTATTAGGCAGTTCTCCTGCTTCCTACCTGTTCTGCTGGGCGATGGGAGGTGGAAGGTCCCTGGTACCTCTTCACGGGTGGTGCGGGTTCTGGCTGTTTGCCAGGACATCTGCTGGGGCTGCTGGCCAGGGCCCCAGCTCTCCGCTTCAGCTCTTGGCTTGTCAGCCTTCTCACATCATGGTGGCCACAGAGGAGTTGAACCTCCTTACTAGAAGCTAGCTCTGTCAGTCTTTTGGGGAATATGTACCAAACACAAGGAAGAGGTTGCACCAGGGAAAGTTAAGGCTTTAATTTTGGACAAGAAATGTACTTATTATCTTATTTGTGTAACTGTCACCCCTCTGTATGTCACTCCTTGACGATAAAAAATATAAAAAGAAAAGATTTTAGTTTTGGTTCCAGTTGTACAAATGTTGCATGTTTGAGACTTGTAATAAAACACAGCTTGCTTTTTAGTGGCTAGCCGAAGGCTTGCCCAGTAAGAAAGGAGACCACCATTATAGCTATGAATGCAATCATGCCTTGGGGCTTCTTGTTTGGACAAAAGTGGAAGGAACAGGATGCTGTGTTTTACAGGGATACATATGTGGTTGAAGGAGGAGCCATAAGAGAGTGGCTCCCTCTCTCCTTAATTTACGCTGCCCTAGTTCTTATGCATCACCCTAGTGATATTTGGGCGGGAATACCACCCCATCATTAACATCACAACCTCCGAAGTTCTGACCCCTATGCCTTGGCTCTATTATTGTGCTGGCTGTGTTAAGGTGAGTGGGGGGAGGGGGCATCACTCATTGGCAGTTCAGTTTCTTGGCTTACAAACTGGCCTAACAATAGGAGCTACATCATAGGACTGGTATGGAGATTAGGTGAGAAAGTATAAGAAAAACATTTTAGTTCAGTGCCTGCACAGTATTATATCCAGTGATTTCATCTGACTCATTATCATTGCTGAATTTTTATAGAAAATCTTCTAATTCAGTGTTAACAGCTGCTACTCTGTGGGGTAGATTGGATTATTGCATGTCACAAATGATAAGACTTCAATCAGGTCAGACTGACAGTCAAAATCCATTTCTCTGACTGGTGTGTTTTTTATCTCACCACTCAGATTGACCTCAGTACTCTCAACCCAGTGCTGGGGCACAGCCGTTCGCTTTTGTCTCTGTGGGCAATTTCATCCAAATAATTCAGTGTTTCTTGGTTTAGACTCTAAGTTTCTTGGGCAGGGACTCAGGTCATTTTTTTTTCTTTTTTTTTTTATTGTGAAAATACCGTACAGAGGGGTTACAATTACATGGGCAAGGTAATGAGTACATTTCTTATCAAGCCTCCTCCTTTGTTTCCCTTTCCCATCCCTTCCCATCTTCCCCCCTCCCACCCCCCTTCCCCCCCTCATTTTTTTTTATATATAACTCAATGTCATACACAATCTAGGTGCTCAACAAATGTCATTACTGTTAACCATAACAGATTCCGAGGCTTGTCTGATTTACTTGGTGATTTTTTGATTAAGTGTGGTTAATTTCAAAAAGAAGCCATAACAAATGCCTTGTTTTTAAATCTCAGAGTCTTCAGGACATCACAATACAGAAATGATTTAATTTTACAGAATTGGCTGGCTGGCTGAAGCAATCTAAATTCCTTCTCTTGAGAGCAGAGAGTATGGGGGTGGGGGTGGCCTGGCTATTGGTTTTCATGTGGGACTATATGTAGAAGGGCAGGGCTTGCTTACAGTGTGTAGAGGCAGAGGAGGTATTTACTGCCAGGAAGATTTGCTTGGTCAATTAGAATCTAATGGATGCTAGTGATGGGTGAACAAAAAATGAGAGGCATCTCTGTGCTGCTATAATGAGACCAAAGAGACTGTCAGCAAAATATAATGGTATCTGGAGCCGTGGTTGAGTATAACAACTGAAAAAAGACATTGCAACAGTTGGAAATAATGAACTGAGCATTAAATAATTAAGATGACTTGTTCTTCTTTTTCTTCTTCTTCTTCTTCTTATTTTGTCCGTTGTAGAGCTTGAACTCTGGGCCTGGGTGCTGTCCCTGCACTCTTCAGCTCAAGGTGAGTGCTCTACCACTTGGGCCAGAACACCTCTTTTGGTTTTCTGGTGCTTAATTGGAAATAAGAGTCTCATGGACTTTCCTGGCAGGAATTATTAATTTTATTGGATGTGATAATGGTGTCTCAGTTGTGACTAATAGAAACCCTGCACCTATGGCTCATAGCCGTAATCCTAGCTACTCAGGAAGCTGAGATCTGAGGACTGAGATTCAAAGTCAGCCCAGGCAGAGAAATCTATGAGACTCTATCTCAAGTTAACCAGCAAAGTGCCCAAAATGGAGCTGTGGCTCAAGTGGTGGAGCACCAGCCTTGAGCAAGAAAGCTGAGCCAGAATCAGTGTGTAAGGCCTTGATACTGACATCAAAAAAAAAAAAAAAAAAAAGGACTAATAGAAACAAGCATTCATGAGTGAAATGACTTGAGATGCAGAGTGTATTTTCAAATGCTCCAACAAATAAGAAACAGAAAGTTTCAAGGAAAGGCCTGTGGGGAAAATGCAGCAGAATGCTGACCCTGGTAGAACCTGGTTGCTGGGGACCGTTCTATTTTAGCCTGCTTGAAAATTCCAGTACTAAAAGGTTTTAAAGAAGTGTCATATACGATGAAACATTTGGAAGAGGAGTTGGAAAGCTGGATTTCAATTCTGAATTAGGTGCAGAGTTATTGTAAGATACATTTAGCTTCAAAAGACTGACTCCTGGAACACATTAGTTTTTTTGGGGGGGCAGTGTTTCTCTCAAATGCTTAGTTTTCAAGAGGTATCT